ACGCCCGAAGCAAAAATTTATCGACCAAATTAGCGATTTATTAAAAACGGGCCAAATTAGGAGTACCCTTAACCGACGAGCATGTATGCGTAAGTGTATGGATGTGAAGGAGGCGAGAGAGGTGTGTCAGGATCGTGCCAAATGGAAGTCTGTAGTCTCTGCCTACCCCTCTGGGTGACAGGCGTGAGTGTTTATGTTTTATGTAGAACGAATGGGTCGGCTCGACCGGGAAAGGACCACTCTATCACAGAATACCAGCATAAAATAGCAGCCTAAAGCTGATGCGTTTTTTATGGTGAATGTGGACATTCGGAGACCTTTTTTACTACAAACGAAGAATTCCATCTTAGTCCTCAGGATAGACAACGCATCTGCGTTTTGATTCTTAATCGAGGATAAATGTAGATGTCTATGGGACACAGCATCCACTTACCATCAAGTAGACTGTATGCACATTGTCACAATTATTCTATAAAAAAATGATGCAACTGTGTTTCGTCTTGAGGAGTAGTAAAAGCGAGAGACCCCAAATGCAGATTGCCAAAATGCTCAAACGCTGCCTAATTTTAAGATGCGGTTGAGTCTCGTGCTCTCTTTATCACTTTTAATAAAAGTGACTGCGACTTATAATTGAGTAGATACCGTTTCAATATTCAGTCATTAATTGAAGGTAGATGTAGATTTCCAGGAAATCACGGAATTCGCTTTCCATCTGTTGAACTATGTGTTCGATTGTAAGTTGTAACTCTTACTTTAGTAAAAGAAATCTGAACGGACTGCAATATAAAATACGTAACTATGAATTATTGTTTGTATTGTACCTAAAACCAATGTAATACAGGTCAATCGACTTTTTGCGAGATGATACGTGCCAATCTGTATTACAATTGTATTTTTCTTGCAATCACTCGTCAGCATATTTATCCGTTGCTTACGGAATCGTACACCAAGTCGTGGTATTTTTTATATAGAATAAGGTAACGAACGAGCACATAGTCCACCTGATGGTAAGTGGATGCTTTGGCTTAAAGACATCCACATTTATCCTCGATGGAAAAAAAATTCAAATTAGGTGGGTAGTTCTAAAGCTCTACAACGCGAAAAATCAAGTACAACAGAAACCAACACACAAAAAAAGAACATGTCGAGGAGTTTACTGGTTGTTAATTCTGATAGTGCCAGAAATAGGTGAGAGACGGATCATAGGTAAAAATATCCCCGTTATCTGAAATAGCATAGAAAAGTAAATTTACAAATGAATATACTCCACTTTTATGCTACGAGTATGCACTTTCCATAAATGAGGCTTTACATATTATTAAATATCATCTTTTTAATGTTACCTCCGCATTAGTATTATCTCCATTATCGTGGAGGCAAATTACATACATAAATTGTACAAGGACAAACATTTAGACATTTTTGTATTCGGGATTCGAACCCGCGACTTTGAGCGCCTATATTCATTGCTAAGTAACTGCACCACTAAGCCGTCTCTTTTAGACTTTACTTCTTCAAACATTTTTATTCCTTAGACACGCAAGTTTCCTCACGTTTACTATCACATTATCGCGGACGTAGTAAATCACCGGCGGGGATATTGGGTCGCTCGCACTAGGAAATTACGGCGATCGCTTGGGCCTTGAGCTACCAGAGCCCTTTTTATCATCATCATCATCACCGTTCACAAGTCCACTATTGAATATAGGTCTAAGTACTACAAAATCATTAGAAGTCTTCTAAGCCTCCTGCAAACAACGTGTTTTATACGTGGTAGAGTCATGCTGCAGCTATATTATGGTTGCAGCACGAATGGGTCTGCTCGACCGGGGAAGGACCACGCTCTCACAGAATACTAGTGTAAAATAACTGCTTAATACAGCCGTGTTTCGTATGGTGAGTGTAGAGATACGGAGACTCTTTTTTACTGGAAACGAGGCATTCCATCTTAGTTTCACGGGTGACAACGCATTTGCGTTTTGATTCTTAATCGAGGGTAAATGTAGATGTCTATGGGTCACAGCATACTTAATAGGTGGACTGTTGATCGCTTTCTATCTTATCTAATCGAGGTGATTTTGGGCAGCATCCACTTACCATCAGGTGGACTGTGTGCTCGTTTGTTACCCTTATTCTATAAAAAAACGACTTCTAGCATGCCTTATCAGACTATCTAGTGCTGCCTTACTCTCCGCTTATGAGTACGAGGATGTCCATTGAGAACTTTCCTCACCATCAATTGTCAATTATTCGCCTATTATCTATTCAAATGAAATTTTTGTATCATACGGACTAAACTGTTTTAATAATTTCTTGTTATTTAGCTACTGTACTTTCCACGTAGTGGCGGTGTAAGAATATCCTCTACCCCATACCATCCCGTGGGGCCATAAGAGGCGACAGAGGGAAACAAATCGGGAGATGGCCAGCAAGATCTTCCTAATAAGGACAAAAAAATACTGCGGTTGCCAACCCGTTTGCAAAGGGTGCAACTATGGCAAATATCCCACCTATAAGGCAATCTAGGGGGGAGGCCTATGTTCAGCAGTAGACTTTAATAGGCCGTAACGATATTAACTATTCCGTGTAGTGGCAGTGTAAGAATATCCCCTACCTCATGTCATGGGTGTCGTAATAGGCGATAGAAGGAAATACACTAGGAGATGTACCGCAGCATCTTTCTAATGACAACTAGAAAATAAAAACTGCAGTTGCCACCTAGCCTGCCAACCGTGGCAACTATAGAACATATCTCCCTTATGAGACAATTCATGGGGCCTATGTGTAGCAGTGAAATTCGATAGACTGTAACGGTGCTGATGAGTGACGACATAATAAATAAAAAACCGGGCAAGTGCGAGTCGGGCCACGCGCAATGTAGGGTTCCGTATGTTCCCGTCATAATACGAGAACATGGAACCACAGTGAGTTCGCAGTTTGACCACTATAACGGCTACAAGTGGTAAAATTAAAATTTTTGTACAACCGACATCAATATTAAATAAAATGAGAACATCATCAATGTAATCGAAATCAATTAAATACTTATTATTAAGGATAACTCAAACTTTACATATCAAATCTTGGTGAAATTCATATGAAACCACAGGAAAAGCACGAGATTTCAAATGAAAAAAAAATAATCATCAAAATCGGTTTACCCGGAAAAAAGTTTTGCGGTAACACACATAAACATACAGTCAAATTGATACCTTCTCTATTTTGAAGTCGGTTAAAAATGAGCCCAAATAGGACAATGGTAACTGAAGGACATATTTTCCAAGCAGATTTATAGGGAGTTGTATTCATCAAAGATTGAAAAACTTTTTCGGATTTTGAAAATAATACAACCTACATAAAATCATTCGCATTTCATGTCGGTACAAAAACGGTCATAGTTATCTATTAGTTCTTGGCAGTGCAAGTATGATTTCTGATTTCTGATGATGAAAGTGCTGTTAGTCTTTTGGTTTTTACATCCTACCTAAATAGAGTAACCTAGGGTCTCTGAGTAAAACCACGGTCAGAGGGACATTGCAATACTATAAAAGTTCCTTATTGTTTAACTACGGAACCCTAAAAACAACTGCGAAAAAGAAAACGACTGCGAATTAGCGCGGTGGGTGTCGCTTGTTAGCTTGTTACTAACGAATGTCAAACAATTACTCCGTAGGAGCGTCGGGTTCGAACCTGCGATCGATAAGTTTCCATTGTCATGGCCTTGAGCGTCAGTTCTAATTGTTTCGTTCTGTGATTTATGGATGAAGTTGCGTTGCTGACGTTGTATTCGATATTAAGCGCATGTTACATGATAATAAAAATAAATAATTATCATTTATTCCCGTACACAGAATAATAAGTTTACTATCAAAAACATACACATAAATAAAGACTTAATAAAATTAATATTAAAGAAAATTGTACAATTAACAAAATACCTATTAACAAGTTAAAGGCAAAGGGAAAAGGCTCAGAATTCGCTGGGCATTATCCTCAGCGCTGGTTTCATCCAGTTCCTGCTGTTTTCAGTATATTTTAGATTGCACGCAAATAGTACTTAATTATGTATTATAAGTGATGTAACCCTCATTAGATTATACTTGTACACGTACTCTACCACTTACTAATGTGGTAGAGTCATGCTGATGCTATATTTGGCTATATTATGGCTGGAGCACGAATGGGTCAGCTCGACCGTGGTAGGATTACGCTTTCACAGAATACTAGCATGAAATAGCAGTTTAATGCTGCTGTTTTGTGTTGCGAGAGAACTGGAGACCCTTAATTAATGAAATAATTCTATTTTAATTCTCAGGGGTGACAATGTATCTCCGTTTTCATTCTTAATTGAGGATTAATTGTAAATGTACAGGCCACATTATTCTTTTACTTTATGGTGGAATATGCGCTCGTTTGTCACCCTTAACCAATAGCGGCGTAAGGGAACTCACTACCCATTATACGTGGTAGAGCCATGCTGCAGTTATATTAGTGGTATAATTGTAGCACGAATAGGTCGGCTCGACCGTCGAAGGGCCACACTCTCACAGAATACCAGCGTGAAATAATAACTTAACGCTGCTGTGTTTCGTATGGTGACTGTAGAGAACCGGAGACCCTTTTTACTGGAAACGAGGCATTCCATCTTAGTCCTCGCGGGTGGTAACGCATCTGAATTTTGATTCGTAATCGCGGATATATGTAGATATATATGGGCCGCAGTAACTACTTATCGTCAGGTGGACTGTGTGCTCGTTTGTCACCCTATCCTATATAAAAAAATCAATATCATCTCGTGGGTGTTGTAGGAGGTGACATGGGAAAACTGAAACACACGAATAGAAAATAGAAACAATTCCTTGCCTAAAAGTGCTCGTTTGTCAATCTTAATCTATTAAAAAAGTCATAGTCCACACTCAGTTTTAAAATAGGACACCAAACATGCTTTAAAGTCTCACAATAAAATAAATTGTGTAAAAGCAAAAAAAAAAAATGTTTACCTTTAAAATCCACATCTGGTATACTCTGTTCCATTGTCAACCTGAACGCATCCAAATGGCTGTCAATATCGCCCTCTTGCGGTACACCGCCATTTCTAAATTTGAATTTCCCGCTCGTTTCGTTTTTCAGTAACGCGGGAAACAGGCCCGGGTCGTACAAAATGGCGATTTTTTCGCCGCGAAAACTGTCATTTGCATTTTGTATTATTCCGTACTTCTCGTACAAGTTTGCGAATGGTATTTTCTTTGATTCACATTGCATCGTTGGTACGTTCCAGTAGACATTAAACGGTTTTTTGGTTTCTCGTAGCGGTACGTCATCTTCGGGCATCTCTATCACGTAGTAGTTGTTACTGCGGAAGAGAAAACATGAGTTTTTATTACTAATTTGGGATGTAGGCTCACGCTGAAGTAATATTTTATATGTTGTAAGATTTAGATGGCCTTTAGTGATTAACAACAGAATAGAACTCCATTACAGACTATAAAATGTTACTATTGAACAAAGACCGCCTCTACAGATTGTCTCATTGATTTTACCATAGTAGATAAATGTGATAAAGAAAAATAGATGATAAACGCGGGTGTATTTGGGCCACAACATTCGCTTATCATCAGGTGACTGTGTGCTCGTTTGTCACCTATTTACTACAAAAAAAGGTTGCCACGCTTAGTAGGTTGGCAACCCCAGTTTATATAATCATGAGTTGCGTGTCAGGTTTCCGATGATTTTAATGCTGTTAGCCTTTTGCCTTTTATAGCTTCATAAATCTCAGGGCTGTATGTCCGCATCGTTACTTTATTAACAATGCCTTCTATGACAGTGTGCAGTGCACGCGGGTGAGTGGTTTGACAGGACCAGCCAGAGACTCGGGTGCAGACTCGCTGCTTCCCATCCGTTGTTCTAATAGCGTTAGTGGCACTAGGGCTGTGTGTGACGGGCCGGCGACAATTGGGACGTCGGTATCTAGTGGAACTGGTTATGAGTTGTTATAACGAAGATGCTCCTACCCATTTTCTATTTCAGATTTCCTCCGTCGCCTCTTACGACACCTATGAGACAACATAGTGTAGTAAATATTGTTACACCGCCTCTATGCGGTTAAGACCTATACTCAACACCCAGGATAGCACTGGTCCCCCCCCGAACGGGTTCCCGCCTTGTCGTGGCGGGGGGCTTAGAAGCCGTGGCTTGGCCACCCACGGCGAAACAAAGAGGAACCCATATGGCTGGTCCGAGGTGGAGGGCCGGCCCGAGGTGGCCACTCCGAGTGGGCTTGGGAAGCCCACTTCGGATGTGTGTTGGTGGACTGCGGTGAGAGGTGTGTCCTCCCCACCTACCGCTGCAGCCGAGGTGGAGTCGCGGAGGAAGAGGAGTGTTGGTATGGCGATGCGCCACTCGCCCTATCCTCCGCGACTCAAACGAGGCCGCACCGTTGATGCGGTGGTGATGGGGCTGCGGGGGGAGAGGATTGTCGGTATTGCGAGGCGCCGCTCTCCCTATCCTCCGCAGCCGAATCTTGGTTGGCGGCGGAGCCATAGACCAGATCCACCGCTGGGGTCGGGAAGGCTAGTACTTCTAAGTGCTCGTTTTTCCTGGCCCCATGGCCTTCGCGCATCGGACGCGGGGGCGTCTGTTGCGCAGATGTAATTGGAGGCCGTGGAGGAAGGCGTGCCATGTGTTCTGGTGCGCCTTACTTGGAAAGGAGAACGGGGAGGAATATTCCTCTCCCGATGAGGTGCTGCCATGTGGCTGCAGTCGCTGGTGGGGCCGCGGATGTGTGCGAAAGCGTTCCCGTAGCCCTGCCAATATGCGACGAAGGTGGAACACCATGGGGTTTTAGTCGGTGCGAGTCCGACATAACCCGTCCTTGCCCCCCGCGAGGCGGGTATGCGTAGGCATTTCCCCGTGTTAAAAAAAAAAGGATAGCACTGGTGTCTTCAAAACTTAGAGTATAGAACATATTTTATCTTTCAACTTTTAGCTTATACGATAATTGAAAATGTAATCTTTATGTATCCTTTAGTTTCGTAAAAACTCGAAAATCTAAACTATTAGATGAAGTGACGAGGAATCAATGGATGCAGGTGAATCGGAACCGTGCTTTGTAGCGTTCCTTGGGGGAGGCCTATGTTCAGCAGTGAAGTTTGAAGGGCTGTAATGATGATGATGGAGAAATAAAATAAATTAAACGCGATTAAATTCGTAAAATTGGTTCTATTCAATAAATGGTTTTGCTAAAACGAAGTTGTATCAATTTTTTTAAAGTTTTATGAATGAAACTCATGTAAAAACATTTTGTTTTTGTTTTGCGTGAATTTATTAAACCCTAAACCCTCGCTCCTCCGTTATTACATTGAATGAATTTCTATATCCATAATCGCAACGCTTGGAATACGTATTGTCGATCGTAGTTACAAGCGGATCACACCTCTAACGCTTTTTCATCACTGATATGGGTATTTCACGTCTAGCGTAAATCTACCAACTATCGAAAACAAATGTTTTTCTACGTTATACGTGGTAAAGCCACGCTGCAGCTATATTATGGTTGTAGCACGAATGGGTCAGACCGGGGTAGGGACACACTCTCACAGAATACCAGAGTAAATAGCAGTTTAATGTTGCTGTGTTTCGTATGGTGAGTGAAGAGATCCGGAGACCCTTTTTTACTGGAAACGAGGCATTCCATCTTAGTCCTAAGGGGTGACAACGCATTTGCGTTTTGATTCTTAATTGAGGATAAATGTAGATGTCTATAGGTCACAGCATCCATTTACCATCAGGTGGACTGTGTGCTCGTTTGTCACCCTTATTCTATAAAAATACTTTTTCCTATGGGGTGGGGATTTCTAATATATCGCCACCACACCTTTGTATTTGGGTGATTGTATAATATCCGTCCATTACAGTCTATAAAAGTCCCCTGGCACACAGGCCTCTCCCATATTACCTCATATGGAGGATTTTGCCAGTTATTACGCTTGGCATGAGAATTGGCAACCGCTTATTTATTATTTTGAGCTGTTATCAGGATGCTGCTGCCCATCTCCTGTCTCAGTTTCCCTCTGTGTCCTCTTACGACATCCACGGGATGAATGCGGTAGTGGATATTTTTACACAGCCACTACACGGGATACACTTCATACTGTAATTTTTATGAATGCCTCGATGCGCCTTTTGGCGATACGATACCGATACCGATACTCTTATAAAATACCGATACCGATACGCTTATTGAATTCAAAAATGAAGGTAAAATAAATAAAACACAAGTCGGGTTATTTTTTTAAAATAACAAATTATTTTTTTAAAACAGGACAAACTAAATAAAACGGTTGAAAACTGTAGACAGTTTCGTTAACAACGAAATAGACGAGGCAATTTCAAAAGTATCGTTGAATCGGTCATAAATATATCGCTGATGCCGATATATCGGCAAACTTCGAGTATCGCTTATATATCGGCGTCGGTATCGGATGCATCCCTAATAATTTTATTGAATAGCTAAATTTTTATCGCCTAAGTGAAATAGTCTCTTAGAAAATGTCTGTGATGGACCACCACCACGGAACCGTCTAAGTCGTATTATAAAAGCAATGTTTATTTTAATATAAAGGTTAGGGCTGAGTTTAACTTTTTTTTAATTTTAAGCGAAATTTAATCGGGTGGTAACCCAGTCTGAACGGTTTCGGTTCGTTGACCCGCGCAGCGCGGGAATGTCTCGTATGTCACTGTCAAGGTGACGTAATTTGAGGCGCGGAAAGTGTTATGTCACTTGTCGTTCATAATGTCCATTGTGTTTTATCATTGTGTCATTGGTTTTTCAATCTTTTTTATCATCATAGGATACAATACTCAAGGTCAAATGTTCAATATGACCGCTAAATGTCTCTAAACGAACAAACATATTATGGGTCATATGATTCTTTTCATTTATAAAACTAATAAGGGTGATAAACGAGCACACGGTCCATGTATTGGTAGGTGGATTTTGTGGTCAATTCCAATCCATTATAAACTGCCAGCTCATGAGATATCTTGAGAAACACCAGCTGATTAGTGACCCCCAACGAAAACCGTATTAGTATACGGTTTTCGTTGGGATCGATCAGCTGGTGATCTTGTGGTCTACCTAACTCATAGATGGGCGGAGGCAGAAGACTTCGCGAAGAAGGATTCATTAGAGTTTAGACATAGCGAAGGCCTTCGATCGAGACTGCCACAAAGCGTTTCTTTCGAAGCTCACTTCCTATGCGCTTGCCAAAAAATTGTGCAATTGGATCACCAGTTTTCTTGCAGATCGGAGCATCAAGGTCGTCGTAGACAGTGCATGCTCCGATTCTGGTGATCCAAAAGGCTGCGTGCCATCACCAACGCTGTTTCTTCTGCATATTAATGACATGTTGCAAACCGGTAACATTCATTGCTATGCGGACGACAGCACTGGTGATGCTTTATACACCGGCCGTGCCAATATTTCTCGAGAAAACCTCGTCAACTAACGGAACAAAAAAAATTAAGCTACAATGTGCTATGAATGTGCACTTTATATTCTTTAGAGTGGGACACAGTATTTCAAGTACCGCTGGTCGACAGCTGGAATAGGAAAGAGGGTGGTACCTATTCTAGACGGCCTCCTGGTCATAAAAGGATACCCACCACCTAGTACTCTCCGTCTTCTACAGATATTCTTCTTTTGAATTTCCCCACACAGAGAGTCTAATATTAATAGCCATTTATGTTAGCAGCAGCGTGAAAGGTGTGAAGAGCAGAAAAAAAGTTCTACCATCTAAGGAATTCTTAACCATTGATAGATTTTTTATACGTGGCAGAGCCACGTTGCAGCTATATTATGGTTGTAGCACGAATGGGTCGGCTCGACCGAGGAAAGACCACGCTCTTATAAATTACCGGCGTAAAATAGCAGCTTGATGCTGCTGTGTTTCGTATGTTGAGTGTAGAGAACCAAAGACACGTTTAATTGGAAACGAGGCATTCCATCTTAGTCCTCAGGGGTGACAACGCATCTGCATTTTGATTCTTAATTGAGTTTAAATGTAGATTTATATCAGCTTCTGAAGCATCCACTTACCATCAGGTGGACTATGCTCTTTGTCACCCTTATTCTATAAAAAAAGATATTTTTGTATCGTTCGTATAAAATATAGCGGGAGTTCACAGGAACCACGTGCAACTTTGGATTCCTAGAACTGATAGCCTTGTTTATCACATTCAATAGCTACATATCTTAATCTACCCACTAGTATACACTTGATTGAGTAGGTCATTCGGCCGCGGGGAATATATCGTGTTTGCACTGGCAAAGGGAATGTTAAACAGTGATGTTAT